TTTCAGCTACGCGCTTTCACGTGGCATAGTTTTCTTGTATATCTTTCGGATAATAGCGGGAACCATCATAGAAAGGTTTCGCTGAAATATGAACTGCGTTTTAGAAACTTTATAAAACTGTTAGTATGATTTTTAGAAGCACTTTACGAACTTCTATTATTTGAATTTATGTAAAACTGGGTACAGTACGAAACCTTTTGGGAACCTATTTTGCTGAACTGGCAGAATAAATGTAGCTGAACTCTCTGAATTAGTATCTGAATTATGGTTTGCGTTCAATCTGCCACACTTTGGTTACAAGGAGCTTGACTGAATTAAGGCGAGTGCGACAATTCCCGCCAAGATTCAGAGCGAATTTTGTAAATTCATAATCCCATCATTTATGGTTGCGCATTGCGCTACTGAAGAGATACCTCACATTGACAAGATTAGTCCTCTAATGTTAAGTGTTCGAACTCTCGAGCGAGTTTCTCACTTCTCCTGGCTTCGCAATTGCGCTGTACAGTGGCAAGACGCGTTCATTTTTACAGGGCTTAGAAATTTTGGGATTGTCTATCTTGTACTAATTATAGTGCGTTTTTTATCTATACGACACCCCCCCCCCCTTGAATTTGAGAATTCCGGATTTACAGAAGAAATCGATACTCAAGTCAGTGCCTTTGTGGTCTACATGTGATGTTGAATAAAATAACATCTCAGTAAATATGTCTAGTCACTTGTTTTTTTACATGTAGAGACATGTCTATTCTTCCACTGTTTCACAACTATACGACATCTTTGAGCAAGGTACATTTTCCAAGAAGAAGAAACCGCAAAACGGGATTTTTATACGTAATCGGGCTACCGGACCTTCTCTACTACTCTATCATGTCTATTGGAAAGGCTTCTAACAGATTCATGCATGTCTTCGGTTTACTGTTGTCACATGCGTCCACAATAAACTGCTCCAACTTCTCCGATGCAATGTACTGTTTGTAACTGCTCAGAAACGCTGTGTCAGTAATCTTCAGAGGTATTCTGAAGGATTTGAGGCAAAACTGTATTGTCATTTTTACAGAAGCTGCTCGCGAAGCTGGCGAGGAACGGTGATAGGAACGATGACCCGCATGCATGTTCGGTGCGTTGTGTTGCTTCGATGTAGTGCCGTCATCGACGCGCGTGGAATGAGATCAGTCGTTGGCTTTTCAGTACTTCTTGGTAACCTGCGCGCAGATGACTTCACTTACATTCGGCCAGTCGGTTCTCTAGAACGTCATAATCGTCCGGACTAAACTTCATTGATTAGATTACACTACCAAATCATTGGTTCATTTCTGTCATCTTCTTGATAAAGCGCCTGTAATAGCACTACGTTTCGCAGCAGCACAACGCATGTGAACATGCACGCGGATCACTTACCGCCGTTCTTCGATAGCATCACGAGCAGTTTCTGTAAAGGCGACAATACTGTCTTGCCTCAAACCCTTCAAAAAAAATCTATGAAGATTATTGGCACGACGCTTCTGAGCAGTTACAAACAGTACGAGGCTTCGAAAAGTTAGAACAGTTCGGTCGGACGCATGTGACAACAGTGAACTGAAGACATGCATGAATCTGTAGGAAGCCTTTCCAATAGACTTGATAGAGTGGTAGGGAAGGTTCGTAGTCCAATTACTCATAAATCTCGTTTTGAGTTTTCTTCTCCTTGGAAGAAGTACCTTGCTCAAAAATGTCGTATAGTTGTGAAACGGTGGAAGAATAAACATGTCTCTACATGTAAAAAAGCAAGTGACCAGACATGTTGATTGAAAATATCAAATGCAGACCATAAAGGCACTAACTGGAGTACTTGATCTCCTCTGTAAATCCGGAAATCCAAAATTTTCGGGGGGTCGTATAGTTATGAAACGCACTGTATTTTGAAGGCTGTTTCTCATTATTAGTATCACTGACCTTCAAATCTTTCTATTCGGAAGTTATCAGTCAATATAAATCCAAAACTCTTCTCTGGAGGGCACAAAAATGGCAAAACAGGACTGAAGCAATTTTTCGATCATGTACAGACGCAGCTAGTATGAGTCAACCAGCTTACAAGGGAAGAATACTTGGTGACCGTGGCCTTTTGCAGCAAGATGTGTACTAATAGATGCGCCTTAAAACGCTAATTCCAAATCTAATAATAAGTTCATTAATTGCTGTGCGACTCTCAGAACGTAGTTATGGATTTTTTCTATATTAATTGTTAGATCTCAGCGGTCGAAATCGTCAGTTTCCAGCCTTATTAGACTCGAATATATTAAAGATAGTTCTTAGCCTAATGTAAATCTTTATTTGATCTGGACGCTTTTTTGTAGTGCGTAAGTGATCATATCAGGGGTACTGGTGAATCCATTCATAAAAAAGTGCATATATTCGTGGCAAGAAATGTCCATAACTTCTTGAGCGCACAGCGAACGCTGAATGTACAGGGTGTCCCAAAAAAAAAATGTGAACACTGTTTGATCGTCAATCACTCCGTTGCTTTCATGTCTTTCGCCGAGCTTGAGGCACCATTCTGTAAAGCGAGGTTCAACTTAGATTTGTAGTATGGCACCCGTCGATGTTCGTTACCGTAGGATTACGGTACGAACTTTTAGCATGTAGATCTTTTGTGAATTATGCCATTTGACAGAATTTATTTTAAAAATCTGAAAAATCGTGTAACAGGGTTTTCGCGCATGCTGATTCCATTACTCAACTTTTTATAAGTGTTTTTAGCTTTTTTGACGGTGTAGTCACCTTTCTGTCAAATGCTGGAAATTCAATTATTACGATTTACCTGGGATAACCTTGGAAAAAGGCACCACAGTAAAGTGAAAATTTCAAATTCGAAATCAGCGGCTTCCATTACCATAGTATAAGACTTTTTGGCTTGTTTGGTTTTGTTCCGAGAAGAATATGGCCTCCAACAGTCTAAAATCCTTGTCGAAGTTCCTACCGTAATCCTATAGTAATGAAGAGTGATCGATGATTCGCTTCCTACTGTAGATCTAAGTTGAACCTCGCTCTATAGAATGGTACCTCAAGCTCGGCAAAAGACATGAAAGCGAGAGAGTTATTAACAACCAAACAGTGTTCACATTTTTCTGGGACACCCTGTACATTCGGAATCAGCGCTCCAAAATGCATCTAATGGTAAGGGTTTCATTTTAAAAAGCCACGATCACTTAGTATCCTTCCCTTCTTACAAGGGAACGATACTCAATGTCCGTGGCCTTCTGAGACGAGATGTATACCATTACACTCGCCTTCAAACGCTGATTCCGAATCTGACTTCCGTTTCTGCTAATCGTTTCTCTGAAGGAAGTTATGGAGGAATTTGGAGCCAACTTTACCCGCCCAACGGTATGGTCACCAGAACGGCCTCTACCGGCGCCATGTTATTGTCTAGTGATTAGTGTGATAGCCTCATAACTTGAAACAGGTGTAGGTTCAAATCCTTTTGTGTTTTTATTTTGCACTACCTCAATTAAAGTTGTTCGAGATTCACTCGAATTATGGTCATTGGATACATTTTAACGCAAATAGTAAATTTTTAAATTCCACATTTTCTGAAGAGTAAGGGCGTTCAGTTAGCTCGAAGATGCGAAAGAAGGTTTATTGAGGCAACGCAAAACTGAAAAACACAAAAGGATTCGAACCTACACCTGCATCAACTCATGGGCCTATCGCGCTAACCACTAGACCACACGCGCATCCTCACTGTTGCCGCTTTGAACATATTTCAGTGGACAGCCAAAGCCCACACAATCCTTTACAATATCTTTGAAGCGATTAGCAGAAACGGAAGACAGATTCGGAATCAGCGTTCCAAGACGAGTGTAATGGTGTACAACTCATCCCAAAAAGCCACGGACACCGAGTATCGTTTCCTTGTTAGACGCTGCGCCGTTGCGGGGCTCTTATGACTAATGACGCACGTCCCAGCGCGAGAAAAATTGTGAACTTACTGCACGGGAGCGAAATTGGTTTGCGCGGGCTCATCCAAGGCAGTCTCCTTAGCACAGAAGCCTTGCGTGCTTGTACTTATCTGATGTTTAGTTGAGCGGGCGATATTCTATATCAAAGCTACAGAATTTAAAGTTTACCTAATGCATTGCAAATGCATTTTTTTTCATTTGCAAATGCATGCCAGTGCATTCACCAAATATCTCTCCAGAACAACACCGTACAACAGTGCTTGCCAGGGTGCAAAGCTTATGATGACCCGCAGCTCTGTGTAAGTTCTGGCGATTATTCTGATGACTTTAACTATGTCAAAACAATCACAGAATTCCACTGACTGGAGCTGCTGGGAAGTGTGCAAGGATCTTACCCCAGCGGTAACACTTGAAGCCGTTAGTGGGTTTGAGTTGAAGCAAAAGAATCTAGCGACAGTCCTTGCCTTCCATCCTGTTGAAGAAGCAACATTTTATGTGGTACAATACCAATTAAGTAATGCCAACCTTTCTTCTCCCCAATACGAGGTACAATCAGTAACAGTTTCCTTACCATATACATTATGTAGTCACGGAAATCTTTTTTCAGATCTCTTTGCAACCTTTTATAACAAATCAGCTGAGACCTAAGTCCTTGTTCTGTGATCCGGTCATAATTCGGTTAGTGCACTTTTGAACAGGCAGCAAAGTCAAGATTTTGTAACTTATTGCAATTTAACAATCTTGCTTTTGCTACTAACGCCAGTCTTGTTGAAGCGTGGCTGCCGTCTCTTCATCTGGAACTGGGCCATTCTCTAAACCTTTTTCACTCGATGCACCACGGCCAATTTTTAATCCCAGGCTAGAACTCTTAACGATGGTTTACTTGGTACGCTTTTCTTATCAGTTTAGTGAGTATCGTGAGATTTTCAGGACACTCCTTATGAGAGTGGACCATATTCCGATAATGGTACAGTTGAGGTGATCTTCAGATATAAGGTGGGAGGTGAGTTGTTAGTAAAAGAGAAATTTGAGTAAATTCCACTTACACTAATTTTTTTTTAGCTTGGGCTTTGGGATTACAGGATCTAGATGTGACTCCTATGTTTCATGTGATCAAATGCGAAAACTCAAACCTGACAACAAGCGAGCCAATCCCTGATTTCGTATGTCTTGCATGAGCAGCTATTCAAATGCCTGAATTATTCGGTACAGAGGCAAGGTTCGCTCCCCGGTACTGTGATCGGACGAATAGGATCACGCATGATGTATAGCAAATGCCAGTTCATCTACTATACAGCACATACTCTAAGTCGGCAATGTCAAACCTCAACGCAACTCCGTTCTCCCCCAGTTGCGGATATGCAGCAACTCACCATAAGTCAATCTGTCCTTAGCTCTTACTCTAACTTTAACGAATACATCTTTCTCTATTTTTCTTTGTCTCTCTGCTAAGCATGTGTTACCATAACAATGTACAGGGTGTCCCAAAAGTATGTATACATGTTTAACCGTTAATATCTCTCTTCCCTAAAAGTCTTTTGCCCACCTTTAAGTACCATTTTTAGAGCTGGATTCAACTTAGTTTCATATTAGGTTGTAACAAAATTAATGCAGGTTTTGAATTCCAACCGCAATAAGTCATACACTTCTCATTTCTAACTAGGTTGCAAAGTACCATTCGATAGAGCAAAGCAAGTTCTACAAGAGGGCTATCTTGCTTTAGCAACAACTCTGATCTACCACGAGTTTCGAGCCAAAAGCTAAAAAGATTCAACTGTCCGAAAAACTGAGAAAAATCGTAACTCAGTTCATAAAAAACCTACAAAAATTCTAACTTGCTCGCGTAAACACTATTCACATAAGATATCGATATACGCCTTTGCCGTATTTTTTTCTCTGTTAGAAATCAAGAAAACGGAAATTTTCGTGCGTTTGTCAAAGTGGTGCTGTGCCGTTTCCACATACGTACAGTTGTATACTACAAACCTGTAGAAGTATAAACGTGAATTTCCAGCTCTCTACAAGCTTTAGTTCTCGAAAAATATCGAATGCAGTTTTCGCTAGTCATGTGGTCCAAGCTAAAATTCAAATTTCTCAAGAACTAAAGCGTGTAGAGAGCTGAAAAGTTACGTTAGTACTTCTACAGATTTGTAGTATACATCTACTTAGGTGGGGACGGCACAGCAACACTTTGGCAAACGCACGAAAATTTCCGTTTACTTGATTTCTAACAGAGAAAAAAATACGGCAAAGGCGTATATAGATGTTTTATGCGAATAGTGTTTACGTGAGCAAGTTAGAATTTTTGTAGGTTTTTTATGAACTAAGTTACGATTTTTCTCAATTTTTCGGGCAGTTGAATCTTTTTAGTTTTTGGCTCGAAACTCGTGGTAGATCAGAGTTGTTGCTAAAGCAAGATAGCCCTCTTGTAGAGCTTGCTTTGCTCTATCGAATGGTGCTTTGCTACCTAGTTAGAAATAAGAAGTGTATGACTTATTGCGGTTGGAATTCAAAACCTGCATTAATTTTGTTACAACCTAATAGTATGGACCGAATCACCGATTATTCTTCATTACTTAGGATTACGGTAAAAACTCCAGGGAGGGTTTTGAGCGATTGAAGGTACTAACTCGCTTCAGAAAGCAAACCAAACAACCTGTAAACTTTTACACTAAGCTAATCGGAGCCGCTAAAACAAGTATGAACTTCGCATTTTACCTCAACGCTTCCTTCATAACTCAATCCAAATGAACCGCGATTACTGTCTTAAAAATGCTCTCTAAAGTCGTGAATACATCATCTGAAAAGTTTTACAGACTCCTAAAAAGTTGAGCAATGCAATCAGCGCGCCTAAAATTCCTGATATACCATTTTTCAGTTTTTTCCAGAACTTCTTTGAAACACGACAAAACCACAATGACGCTGTATAACAAAAGTTTCTACCGCAATGCTACAGTAATGAAGAGAGGTCGAGGCTTCCATACCGTAAATCTAAGTTGAGGCCAGCTCTACAAAATGGTTTCTAAAGTTAGGCAAGAAACTTCGTGGTAAGAGAGAAATTGACGATCAAAAGTATACATACTTTTGGGACACCCTGTATATATCTTTCAAAAGTAAGAGACCGAGAGAGAAAACGAGAGAAATTGTAGGCTCGTGGTTCGTGAAGTTACCATGTCGACTTTGAGTCTGATTGGGGTAACTCCAGCACACCGCTCTAACAAATTCGTTTGTAATTTTTCTGTAATACTGCTACTCTAACGCTCTACTCTTCTTCTTTCATGCTCTTTTCACTCTCTCCTTAAACATCAAGCAAAAACTTCCAATTCAACATTATTGAGCATCAAACATTACTGAAAAAAAGGAATTCCAGGAAATATAATGTAGAATATTTATGCATTACATTAGACCAAATATAATATACTGTTATGCATACCGAAAGGATACAAAGTGTTTCTGCAAGATAAAATCAGACTTTGTCTATTCGAATCTTCTTGATCTCAGCCCCTTTAGGCTGTGATAATGTGAGGAACAGTCCATGCATGCATACACCTCCAATTTGCGGTCGTATCGGTGGTATTCACCATGAGGTGGTTATTGAAGTGCAGATCCCCTATCCAATTTTTTCTAGTTGTAGGTTACGGAAGAGTACTCCGCTCCTGGTGAGAAAGAAACGAGTCTTTCTCTCAACATCACATTCGATCCGATAGTGCGCAAGGACGAGCCGCCAACAGTTTACTACAAAGCGTTCTATGGAGAAGCATTGCCATATCCTAGGCAATCAGAGGTTGAATATACGCAATTAGTTATCCCTAATTAAAACCATATCTCTATTCTGATAGCTCTAACTCTTATGTTTCAGGAGGCCCTTGCTGGGGTTAACATAACGCGCATCATCGGAAATACTACCAATTGCTTAAAATTCGACCATCTTGGTTACTGCCTGGTATATTTACAAATACTCGATCTTAACTAGAAGTGTAATGTACACCCACCAGTATTCAGGAGGACTCGAACAACAGCGTTTCCATATCCGGCATCCGTTATGACAAAACTTACGGTATCACTTTTTGTGCTATCAAGGACCCTAGAAATTTGATGGTTCCTGATCTTGTCGGAAACAGAATGATTTTGAAGCCAAGAGCAAGCAAAATTTATGTTATTCCAAAAAGTTGGTAAAGAACAACGCAAAACTCATAATTTATCCATCTTCAAACATTTCAGGGACAGTCAACGTTGAGGTGATTATAGCCGTAGTTGGCGGAGCTATCATTTTGATGACTGTTATCATGGCTGTATGCTGCTACGTCAATAGGAAGCAAAAACAAAAAATGTACCAGTTGTAATTATGCCGTTGAAGTGGGAAGAGAAATTAGATGATTTGATCTTACTAAGCAGCACATTGCTCAGACTTTTGAACTTTGCGTCATTTAATAGAATCCGTTTGTAGACTCTGGGAACTCAGGATCCTCAATAAACGATTTTTCGTTATTCGCGGAGATGTCTTGTTGCGTGAATTTGGAGTAACTGGCTCACTGGATATTAGTGAGTAATGATGAAGGTTGACTTAGGGCTGCAGGACAAGGTATTGGACTGTATCTTTGCTTTTTATCGCATTCGTGCGCATAAGAAAATAGTTGAGGACTGTTGCTCGGTTTCAATCCATGTCATCGGAGTTGTACGGATAGGCAGTAGGATAAAAATGCAGCACATCTTTACTGGCTACTGCTCAAGAATATTTTAGACCAGGGCCCTTCACGAGGGTGGCAGATGGACATCAATAAAACGACTTCGCCCTTGCCTTCATCAATTTTTGCGAATTCCCACATTCCCGCCAGCTGCGTAGATTGTTCGATTAGAGCGCGCTTTCTTCCTTAGAAGAACCGGCATCATTGCTATTCCGGATCTTTAGAAGGAGAAGAGGAGTTTTGGAATCAGAATGTTGTTGTATACTAAACTTTAGGCTGTAAAACAGGTTTTAAACAATTGAAAAACTTGTGTGAAATGGATGCTTTGCCTATCCTAGACAGGTGGGCAGTTGCCCACCTTATTTGGAAAAACGTTAAGCGCTCTTTATTCACACAAGTTTTTCACAATTTTTCGTACATTGTTCCTTAGCCCTGCTGCGCGCATACACGCCAATTTTCGTGCCATATCGTCACGTGCGTTCGTGTCCTCTGCGTTGCAAACGACATTTTGTCATTTTTTTGGTAGTGGGAGATCTTCAGAAAAAAACTTGCCACAACCTTCAGTTACAGTTTTTCACAATACTCTGCACTATGCTCCTCCTAGTCCATGCCCATTTTTTACATCCCAAAATTATAGTCATACCATTATGCATGCGCTGTAACTGTGACAATTAATTACAACTCAATAGAAAAAAAATTTGGATTTTTGGGGGTGACGAGCGAGCAAGATCGTGATTCTGCATGTCAATATTGTAGCAACTTGTCGAGAGAGTGTATATAACGTAAAAGTATATTTACGGCATTCTTTACTTTCCATCCAAAACGATTTCCAGACACTTGTACACCTTGTGCCGGGCCTTCAAGACACCATGAACTTCAAGGGCGTCACCCTTTGAGAATTCAGGCAATTAGACATTCTTTTTTTATGTATAACCTCCGCCCCAGACAAAGTTCAAAGAAAGAACGAGTTTTTTTATAGATAGCAGTGTTGGATAGCATGGCTAAAGTGCGGTTCATAATTATACGAACACCCAAAATTTTGTAAGTTTTTGGACTTTTTGGGAGAATCTTGAAAAGCCGTTGGTAAAAAGCGATAGAACACAGCCGAAAACGGTATACGATCCTTAAAAATGGAAATCCATGTCAATTGTAAAAGTGTTTTTGCGCCTAATGAGAAATTTTAGCGGTTCATAATTATACGAACACCTCAAACAAAGGTCCATTTTTCATTCAAGATTGAATCATTTAGTCCAAATTTTTTGTAGAGTTACAGTAACGAAGTCTAACATATCTGCTGCACACTCAACCCAGTGCAGTTTGAAAAGAGGACCGTTACTTTTTTCAGGAGGCTTTAAATGCTTTTGAAATGATTGCGCTCCAAAAATATCCGTTTTTCTGCGGTTTCCGCGCTCTAATTAGCTTCGACCAAAGCTATGAGATAGAATAAGCTCTTTCGATAGGTATTTTGTTTGTCGCTTGGGAAATCTTTGCGTTTTCATGCCGTTTGTCAACCAAGGTCCAACCTTACTTTAGAGTTAGCACGATTTCGAGCCTCAAAACTCAGCTTCTCTCTTGTGCAAACATTTGATATGAAGCAGCTGCATTGTTTGCATGATGATGTTTCTGTGGCAAAGTTTTTGGGTTTTTTGTAGAACTGTTCTTGAGGCTGTGGAGAGCTACAAACCAAATAAATATGTGGTGCAATAGTAAAAACAGTGTTTTTGGGGAAATGACGTCTGCGTGGCCAAAACAAACGCTCAACGCTGCTGATTTTTTCAAGCCAAATATACAGTCTTGTGAACTTCTACATATTATATGCTTACTTCATTGTACGGCTTCAGAAGCTGAGTTTTGAGGCTCGAAAGCTAACTTTAAAGTAAGGCTGGAACTTGGTTGAAAAACGGCACGAAAACGCAAAGATTTTCCAAACGTCAAACAAAATACCTATCGAAAAAGCTTATTCTATCTCATAGTTTTGGTCGAAGGTAATTAGAGCGCGGAAGCCACAGAAAAACGGATATTTTTGGAGCGCAATCATTTCAAGAGCATTTAGAGCCTTCTGAAAAAAGTAACGGTCCTCTTTTTGAACTACACTGGGTTCAGTGTGTAGCAGATATGTCAGACTTTGTTACTGGAACTCTACAAAAAATTTGGACTCAAATGATTGCAATTTTGAATGAAAAATGGACCTTTGTTTGAGGTGTTCGTATAATTATGAACTGCTAAAAATTCGCATTACGCGCAAAAACACTCCTAAGATTGACATCAGTTTCCATTCTTATGGATCATATACCGTTTTCGGCTGTGTTCTATCGCGTGGTATCAACGGCTTTTTGAGTTCCTCCCAAAAAATCCGAAAGCTTACAAAATTTTGGGTGTTCGTTAATTATGAACCGCACTTTATTACTGGGAGCGCAGTGCATGTTTTCGGTGTTTCAGAATGTTTTGCATTTTTCTTAGAAAAGAGCATTGTGTTGGTTATTTCAGCACTCCTAAAAACATCATGTAGTAGGGGTGCTAGGATTTGATTGGTCTCATTCAAGAAAATGCACAATAGCCACCAATGCTCGTGAAAGCTCACCATTACTCCTGACTTTACCCAGCGCAATGGTCCACAATTTGAAAACGAATGGTTAATGGGTAAAAAAGGGAAAAAACTCCGAAACTGCCAAAACTGATTTTCTGACCTTTTATCAAAGTAGAACTTGTCAGATCATCGTTAGAACCTGGAAGAAAGGAAAGTGATGCCCGAAATGAAAAGCAACTAAGGACGTGGCAGGGATATTATGAGCTGTGATTTCTTCGCGCGCTGCAGGGTAAGCTAAAAAGGGTCCAGAAAGGCAAGCCCACCGGCAGTAACCGCACGAATCGGGGCGATCGTTGACTAATATCCTTTGCTTTCATCGCCATTCTATACAGTTCCAATGAAACGCACACCTCATTGTTGTGGAATGTGCTGAGTTGGTGTGTATTAGAAATCTTCGCGCTCACTTTCCTGTACCATTTCTGCACATATACAAGATAGGTTTATTTGTGTGTTCAGCTCAGACAATTCACGGGAGCTTCCCGAAAACAAGCCAATTTTGGCAAACTTCCCGAAGAACTCGTTTAACACAGAGGTGAATGGAAGCGCAAAAATGGGAGTTTCCCGAAAACTTTGACGTCAGGAGCAACGCAGTTAGGAACTTCCCGAGGATTTCTTCGGGAAGTATCTATAAATGCGAAACTTTCCAAAAGCTTTTAAGAAAAGGGAATTTTCCGAGAGCTTCGCGGTATTTCGTAATAGCGCTACTTTCATTCTAATGACTGAATTGTCGTAAAAAGTCACAGAGTCTTCATCAAACTTATGTAATGGTCAGTGCGATATCTGATTTAGCGCAAGTGCGGACTTCTAGTGTTTCTTTTCCATCGTCCTCTCGTTTTATTCTGTAAATTGACTGAATTCTCTTCTTTCCATGTGGCATTATTCAAATGTATTTGCATCACTTGTCGTTAAGGGTGAAGTGACCTCTTGCTTGTTACTTCGCACATCATAATTACCGTCCTCTGTCGCAGTGCGAGGTGTGAAGCTATGACCCAGAGCCAAAACAAGCAAATAGATGATCCGGCTATTGAATTACCTTAATATATGTGCGACCATCTATTGTACAGCTCTTTGCGAGTGCGGCTGTTATGATGCACCATGTAATAAGGAAATGACTCCTTTTGACTTTACATTTACTCATAAATTTTACGTGTTTCGAAATTCTTCTAAATGTGACTTTGTGCTGTTTTATATATAAAAAGGAAAATATGAATTTAGGCAAGTCTTTTTCAGCGTCTGATTCTCCTTGCTTTCTTTTCTGTATTTCGTAACAGTGCACTTGCGCTATTTCACTATACTGCTAGTCTGTCAATCTGTTATAGATGGTGAAAGTTTAGCAATTCAAATTGGAGTGTTATCTTAGGTAGTATTTAGATTCTGGTTCCTAGCTGAGTGGTTGTAATTTCGATCTTTTCTCCTCCTACTAGTGAAGCAGTTATGTGAAGGTGCTATATGTGCGTGCGCTTCGGGACCGCACCGCGGTTTCTCGCGATTTGATGATTTTCAAACTGCGCTTACGATTCTTTGCATATTAGATCTCTTCTTTCCTCTTTTCTAACGTGAATTTTTTCAGAGCAAGGGCATCAGCCGAATATAGTCGCGACGAACAAATAGTTCAAGGCTTCTACTTTGAGGGCACAAGTCGACTTTCAGGTGAGCGTGATTGCGCTTTATTTGACACTAGTTATGCTTCAACTCACTTCTATGATAATGTTTCTTTCTCTTTTTTGATTTAGCACTGCTTTTCTTTCTTTCTTTTCTTAAAGTTTCCTGTTTTCCTCTCTGATTTAGCACTGCTCTCTTGCTTTCTTTCCGAAGCTGTGCACATTAGAGATCACTAATGAGAATATACAATAATCTTTAAGCAAGAGTAATGAAGTTGTTCGAGGATCTTTTATTCACCTCCCATCTTTCCACTTTCTCTTTCACCCTCTATTCTCTTCACCCACATTCCGCTTCATGCAACCTACTAAGACATTTCGTATTTCACTCACATTTTTTGTTTATTTTATGGATTGAAATCTCTTCTTTGTGTCTATTTGGATTCTTGCCATGCACTACTTCGTAGTCACTATCAATTGTTGCCGCTGTTGCTGATGTTACCGCTGTATCCTTGTTACTGATGTTGCTGCTGTTACCTAATCATTGAAAACTTGTATGGAGAAATGAGACTTGATTGTTCGTTCCATCATCTAACAGCAGTAGCAGGGGTAGCAAATAACAGCAGCAGTAGTGGTTAACAACAGTAGCAACAGAACGTCGATAACAACTGACGATGGAAACGCTGCCTGCTAACAGCAGAAACAGCGCTTTTGTATGGTTGAAACTAAAGCTGTGATAAGTGTATTTTTGCACGATTGGTTTGGTGGAATCTTTTGCTACTCAAATTTATAGATCCATTAGGCTTTGGCCGAACTTTATCCGTGTTACCCATGTTACCGGTGTAACCTGTGTTACTAATGTTACTAGTGTTACTGCTTTTACCGCTTTTAGTGCTTTAAGTAGTGAAATGATCACAGATACAGGCTCATTCTAGAACGCGATCTCATTGACTAGTGGCGAGTGAGTAACACGGGTAATACGAGTAGCACTAGTAACAATGGTAATGCGAGTAAACGAGTAACACGGGTAAGACCAGTAACACGGTAACACGGGTAAAGTATGGCTAAAGCTCTAGCGGGAAGTTTTTGAGCCATTCTTTAATGTCAGCTTCGCTCGTCATCAATGACTTTTTACGTGTGATCTTCAGACAGGTTGGCCATTCATGTTCATAACTTTCATAACCAATGAACATGTAAGTATAATAAAAAAATCTAGTTAAGTAAATATGAGTGGACTACAGCGAGATTTGTAGGTTTGTGGACCAGATCAGATATATGGAATTTTGCTCATCGTACATCTAATGTATCGCGCAAGCCGGATTTACAAGATCTGCCTGAGTCCATAGTTATCACACTCAACGGTACGAAACTAGTCATGTAAGAAATTCTCATTCAAATCATTCTTTAGATTTCGTATTGGATGCGCTTAGCCTCGGCAACGAGGATTTGGAGGGATACAGATTGAATTCGATAAGAAGCTTGCGCACTAGGTGCGTTGGTGTTTCGTAAGCAGTCTTTACCTACTCAAATGATTTAGTTACTAGATCTCTCTGGGTACATCCGATGAAGAACGCGAGAAAAAGTTCAACTATCTGCTGGAGCAAAAAACTTTCTACTGCGGCCAAATCAGGACCTGTATCGCAGAAGCACTGTAAGTTTTCCAGAATCGTCTTCTGCTTCTAAATTCAGTTTTACAGCGAGGATGTCCGTTATTATCGCCTCGACAAGGGAAAACTTGTGCCTTCAAAGGTTCAAACTTAGTCTCAGTTGTTTTTATACTAAAAAATTGTTTTCCAGAAATACAAGGCTACGCAGGTCGGATTTGGTAGAGAGGACAAGGCAAGTATGACGAAGTCAGAATGGAAGAGGAAAGCGCTACACAGTAGTGGAATTTGATCCCGTCGCTGTCCTGTTTGAACCTGATGTTTAATTTCTGATCCATCATAAGTCTTCTCATGTAACATCGTGCCTTTGCCTCATTAGTTAAGCATGTTTCTCATTAATCAGTGCTTCATTTACTTACTCCCCGCTTACCTCTATATTCACTACATGCTTACTTCATATCTCACTATCAATATGATACTCCTTACGCATTATCCGGGCTACTGTAATTCGATCTTTTAAGAACTTGAAGAAATTCTCCCATTCCCTCCGTCGATATGTTATATCTACTGCTATAACAATAAATGATGGAGCATATCTGTTTTTGCGTATAACTACTACTAGTGCTCCACCCTTACTACTACACTACTTTGAGTAGCTGTACTAAGGGTGCGGCTTTATGAAGTAGCAGGATTCATCATGAAGGTTCGGTACAGCTACGCGGAGCCAATGTGAAGCCCTCAGGAAGTTCTGTAGATAAGTTCTCGGGAGATTTCCCACTTCTTGCGAATTTCCCGAGGACTTTTTTGCAAACTTCCCGAGCGCTTCACGGGAACTTCCGCAGGTGACCCGAGGAAAGTTCCCTCACGGACCTCGGGAAGTTCCCATTGATTGTCTGAGCAGGAAGGGAAGCCCGTCGTGCGGGGTTTCTGGTAATCGAATGTACTTGACTGCTGATTCGAAAATAAGGAACGCTTTTGGATGTTTTGGTTTTATCAAACAGCAGTCACCAATGGCGACAGTACCTTATGGGTAAGGGTGCAACTACTGGTTCCTCTATCTAACTCATAAAGCAAACCGCGAAGGATGGGGCAAGTTATGATTCATCGCCAACCCGATTTGGATATAGTAGTCCCCCGACCGTTTGAAAATGTTGCACTCCAAACATCCTGAATGAGGGTAGATGAGGGTCAATGTGCACGCTTTGTTCAGTCTTTACAAATGACCATATCGTGGTAGTAAAGATCTACTACAACAATATGGTCATCCTCAAATTTGAATATTGCGAAGCATAACATCTCAGGGAGCAGTTAGTGCGAAGCAGGCTGTGCGAAGTGGAATGCATATCCGAACAATGCATTCTCGCCCATTCGGAAGGGGGAAGATTGTGCAAGGTTGCGAGCAGTGTACCAACTGGAATTTTGAGACGTGACTCTATATATAGGCGAGACGAGCAGAGCACTGAGCTGGGTCAGAGGACATCCAGCTGATAAAAGAAAAGAGACTTGGTATAATTGGAATTTTCACAAGTTTTCTCGTTGGTGTTCTTTTGTTGCTGTTTGCTTGCATCATTAAAATAGGTTATCCTATGTAATAAATAATAAGTTTGAGGTACACGATGTCACAGACTTTGATGCCAAATGCATAATCTTGACACAGAAGACTGAAATTCATGCACGATAGAGCTTGGAAGGCTTGAAAATATCTATTAAGTGTCCAAGCATTAACAGCAAGAACGAATACTAACAATACCTAATGGTCTTCTGCCCTTTCTAATATTATGCGAACAGCGACCGTACCCATATAAAGACGTGACGCATGAGTGACACTTAGCGCCCGTCTACCACATCAGATCAACAGATTAGTTTTATTTTCGGCGTGTGTATCAGTATGGTACAGGCAACGTCTAAAACTGATTAGTGCTGAAAACGTGTTTCTCCCCCGGCGAAATAGTTTCGCAGGTCAAGTTGCAACATTCTTTCAAGCCTCCGAAAAAGACGAAACATATCGAAACTTTAGGTCAACAAATTCATCTTATCATTTTGAGCTCGACAAAACAATCTATGCAGCAATTTTAACAATTGTCGGCGGCCTTATTTGTATGACATGCACGGCCGGAATATGTGGTTGAAATCAACGAAATTACAGTAACCAATGCTTAGGCCCGTATGCACGTACATCCCCACTGAGGAGGGGAGGGGATCTGAGAGGGGATGCGTCATATCTCGCTACTCTACGTATCTTTCTTCTTTTTTAACTTGCTTATGAAAATTTTACACTTATACCTGCGCATGATGGACGCCAGGTTACTGCCATAAAAGATTGGTTTTTTGCCATTTTGTGTGATCACCTGGGGATCCCTGGTGATCCCCAGGGACGAGTTTTCAAAAAGATAAATAGATAGAGAAGGAAGATAACCTACGGTAGAAAACGAAAGATACCTAGAGTAGCGAGATATTACGATCGAAACTGATAACTTTGACTTTTCCGTTAATAAATATGCTCACGGAGACTCTAATGTTAGCATTAGAATAAAATTAGCTATCATATATGGTGAGATTTTAGGAATTTAGAACTTGCATAACTTTGACAGTTTTGAACAAAGGTTACTGATACTAATAAACAAACCATGTTCTTGAAATATTATTGCGAGTGCAATTGTAAAACGCTTTACTTTCGAAAAATGTATTTTTCATTACTATCCGGAACTAAATTTATTCAAAAGCACTAGACATTTTATCAAGCATAGATTCTAGAAACTTGATTTTTATGTTTGTAATCGTTGATCGTAATTATTTTTTGCCCTATCCTCAAGGTTTTTATACCGAATGGTAGGGCTGCAGTACTTATACCTTTAGGTATAGATACACAGAGCTAAACCATTGACTTTCATACATGCCATATTTCCCTGATAATGAGCCTCGGGAGTGGTCTACTCATCTTGATACCTGTATAGGGGTAAGGGCGAAATAGGCCATCTTGTATATATCCATGGTATCACCCATCTATTTACATACCCTTTGCTTCAACGAGATCTCCGGCTGGAAGGCGGAGCTCGTGACCTGATTAAGGCAAAAAATGATCAGAGAGCATGTTGAGGCGCAGACTGAGTGGCGGACGCGAGCACTCGCCACTTAGGTCATGAGGCCCCGCCATGCAGCCGATATGGTTGAAGCAAAGGGCATCAGTCTTTCTCTCACTGATAATTTATCCGATATGAGCCCAAAAAGCTAGATAATTCCTGAACTTGAAACCATCATTGAATCTTAGAAGGTAATAAGATTTGTATAATAGTTTCATCAATATTTCACGGATATGTTGAACAGAGCCAAAAATGCGTTTATCTCAAAAAATGAAACAGATCAGATATGTATCACTGCATGAAGAGAACAGTAAAGACTTTTCAAAAACACGGATCATCAGAACATCACAGAACTTAGTCTAATGAAAGTTACGTGAAAAGAAAGGTAGACTTCAAAGAATGACAGACAGAGTGGCTAGCAACAAATTCGTTCATTCTGAAAAAAGGTAGAAAAGAAATAACATGAATACAGATTCACCTCAGCTTTAGTCAATTTTTCAAATCAAAAGATGCCTCTTAAACCAATGAAGTTTTTTGACAAAAGTGAATGGTATCATGATAGCAAATTACCAAGCAAAAATAAAAACAGAAAAAAAAAGTTTGAGGAAGTATCACAGACAAGTACAAGCAAATTAGCACACTGCAAACAGACTAGTAAAAATATACACAAAATATTTCGGCCACTTCTAAGAAACTGTACAATTGTTGTTCCCGCCTCGACTTCGCTGATTTCTCCGCTCCCTTGGGCCTCCACTCCTGAACAGCAATTCGATTCGAAATACGATGAAACAGACGCAAAGACTTTTTTGAAAACAAAAGTGGAAGGCTATTCTATAGAAAACACGTTAGCCTTACAATTACCTAGCACAAGGACCTGCAAATGGGCGATTCTTGGCAATCAGAATTTTCTGCGGCAAAAATGTGGGCGATAAAAAAAACTCACGCGTACTCCTGTTGCTGCAGTTGTTCTGCTAATCTTCGATCTCGTTCTTCTGGACTAATCTGTACGTCATTCATAGATTCGGCTAAGGCCCTTGCTAACGCCTCATCCTCGGACATTTGCTGTAAACAAATTTTGGTTTTTCTTTTTCCTAGCTTTTTGAAGTTCTGAATTACGAATTCGAGGAAACATGCTTGCAACCAGCACCGCAGAAATTCGATTTCAAGATCGAAATCCCAAAAAATAATTTAACAAAATTTTAGGAAGGTACATGAATCTTGTTGGTGTATTCATAACTATACTAAAATTACTACAGAAGGTGAAATAATCACATAAAACACTTACCGCTGTTCGAGCTTGGCTAGCACAATTTTGTCCACCTTGATTTCTTGCTATAGCGGCGGCACTAAAGTATCAAGCAACATAAGGTAGGGTGAAAATTGCAATTTACTAAGAGAAGGAAAATGACAACTCACGCATGTCTAGATAGTGGAGGCGTTTTCTGGAACTGTTCGCAATCATGGTCTCTTTCATGTCGATGAGCAAGGCAGAAGTTGTACTTACAATTTGGGCAGCGTATGGGTACAAGCTAAAACAACTCATTTCTGGTAGGTAAGAGGATACAGCACTACAACGAGAGGTAACCTTACCTCCTTCTTTTTACAACCCTTCACAGAGCATTTATTTACATAAACCTTCTTTTTCGCACTAGCAGCACAATTATTCAGAATATGTTCGTTAACCTGCAACAGTTCCTTATTGAGTGAAGTGATGAGAGAATTCTAAATCTCACTTGAGCATCCGGAGAGATGCCTTTCGGTGTAGGTACAGGCCTGTCGCAAATGGGGCAGATGGGAACTTGAACATTCTGCAAAAAGGCACTTTTCTAGGAGGAAAAGTATAAGAAGTATATGTAATCACCAACCTTTTTATACGCATTTTTGCAATTATGTCCTTCGTAAGTATAATGTGATAAACTGAAAAATGAGCATTCAAACAACATAAACTACCAAATAAGGAAACACTTACCAAAAGGTTCCCGAACACGCATCACAACGTACTGGGAGAAAATCTGAAAGATTAGAGATCAAAAACTACATTAAAACAAATGACATAAATGCGTCAAAAACGTCTCAAAATATTTTGTGTAGCTAAAGGTATCGTGCAAACCTATGTACCGAATTTCTTATGCAGAAATTTGCTAAACTTACATGATTGAGCCCATGCCTGAGTGGCAGCTTAGTGTATCAGCGGCCGAGTGAACCCTCAATCTAGCCCCAACTAATCCTCACCGTACCTATGAACGCTGTTTGCTATGATCAAAATGCGGTATGGAGGGAATAGGGCTGCATCTGGGTCATGCAAGGAGATGACCTGCTGTTGGCAACGGCTTAGCTAAGCTTTCCCAATCAGTATCCACACAGAAACCCTAGGTACCCCTTTTTGACAGCCTACATTCAGTGGAGTTAGCACCTACGGGGGATTTTTGGAAGAGCTTGCATGCGAATTTTATAAAAGATAGTGGCGAGCACCTTATGGCAATACCATGACTCCTTGGGTACGATGCAGAAGGTGACATTTCTGAACATTGTGCCCTATTGAAGGCAGCGGCTCGGCAGATTGACAACTTTGGGATATCCATCGTCCTCGGTTCCCCTAAATGAGCTGAGTCCATGACTGTGCTTTGCAGCTTCAAAAGATATCAATAACCCGCTTTACTAGAGTTGAAAAGTGCTATTTGGGCGGACCGCGCAAGCCCACGCTCTAGAGCGCATTGGCTCATGAGTACGATGGGTACGGTATCTCCACTCACGCACCAATCGCGCTCTAGAGCGCAGGCTTACGCGGTCCGCCCAAATAGCGCTTTACACGTCTGGAAAACCGGGTTACTGACACCTTTTGAAGCTGCAAAGCACAGTCTTGGACTTAGCTCATCCAGAGGAACCGAGAACGATTGATTTCCCAAAACTGTCAATCGGCCGAGCCGCTGCCTTTAACCCCCTCCCCTTTGCTAGCGTCTAACGGCAAAGGGGGTTGAGGTGGGGCTGGGCCGATACATGACTCGATGCCAAGAGTGCGCAAAAGTGATGACAAAGGCTTTCTGAAAGCCCGTATTTTACAAGCATTGCTGCCTTCCGCGTTACTGAACCATTCTTGAATGTTCCAAGCCTATGAAGTTTATATTCAATTTAAGCGGGGTAGGATTGTAAGATTCTGCCTCTGAGAATCTATAATAAAACTCCCGTCGACCTGTAGCTTGCCAAAATCTAAAAAGAAAAAAGACGCTTCTGCAGTTCATCGTCAGAACAGATCTGATCACTGCAAGAGCCTACGATGAGGAAACAAGCGCCACAGTATTGTCCCGTAATCGACAGTATGACAGGTATGATACATGTCTGCAGCTGCTAGCAGACTACGCTAAGTATAGTGAAGACAGGGGAAATTATATCAAAAATAACAGGAAGCACGTTCTACAAGACATCCTCTGGAATTCAATTGTGAATGAAGACTTACCAAGTAGATGGCACAGCTCGGCGTCACAGTGCCGTCCTATATGCGGAAGCTCAGCCATGGTATCTAGAAAATGAATATTTATAAGCGCGCGGTAAAGGTTGTTGATACAGAAGCAACAATGTTACAGAAAAGGTTCGCGTAGTTGAATTATCAAAGCATGAGGAAACGGAAATGGGAGGCTTTGATGCGTTGGAACGTACATACAAGGAAATGAAATGAAATAAGGCAAAAGCGAATCATTTCATTGAAAGATATTTCAGGCTACATGATTCGTACGGACAATTGAACACCATTAAGGCCACACTTCCGATTGAAATTTAATGCAACACAATCTGACCGCCTTTAGAATGACCTTGCAAAGAGCAGGAAGTGATCGTTTTCAGAGTCGATACGTCAATGTTCATTGAACGTCGACAGAAGGAAGTGCACTGCTGCAAAGAAAAAAACGCTAGCGCGCCACGTGATGCGGTCATATCCTTGACGGAACTTTGGAAAAAAATGATTGCATGATGGAACATCCCCTTACCATCTGATGACAAAAAAATCTTGGAGCAAAAGAATATACAAACATTGCTACCGCAGATAACATGACATGCAATGCGCATATACTACAAATTCGCGTTAACGGATCCCATCTGGATCCGTTCTACGCGCTGAACTGCGTGCATACAGCAATCGATAGTCATGTACTGACAAAAGCAGGTGTAAAGGAGCTTATAGCATTGAAGCTCTAAAATATGACAGGGTCTTTATCTACTCTACCTCAGCCTGCATGTCACATCGGAATAGTTCTATCAAGGCCACTAAACCTCTTGGCGATAGAAAACATCAGACTCTACCACTAGTCCGTTTAGTAGAAGGGGTAAAATCGGCAATGTAAATAAAGGGATTGGAAGTGCCCTTATTCAAATGACGGTCAGAATCAACTACAAGGACGCACTGGGTTGTATCGCCGTACATGATGCGCATACACTCCAGATCCGACAATGCTCTGGATCCGTTCAACGCGCTAAATTGCGTGCACTTAGCAATCGATAATCGTGTACGATTCTGCATTAAGTTCACATTCTGACAAACTTTTCTATCCTAAATGCGTAAAGCCGCTGTGCTGCAGTAACCGTAATCTCACTGCTATCTGCACTGTAAACTCAAACCTTAATTTGTTCGTGTAGCGAACCTTATGAGTCCGCGATTTATCGCGTACGTACGCGTACGTATTTTACAAAATGCTCTGAGTGGGAAAAACCAACGCTTGCTGCACGCAGCGCTCATTACACAATAAGCTCCAAATAGCAATTGGTGGCGGATCAGGCATTTCATTTCCCCCGTTTCTATGTTCCATAGGATGTTTAACTTTGTAAACGGCTCCCAAAACGCGTGAAAGGTCAGAATCGAAACGTTGCGAAGTCTCAAATAAGGCAATTGCACTTGATTTGCACTGGAGAATGGGTAGAAAAAGGAATCAGAAGTGCTGAAGGACAGGTCCGGTGCAGCCATCAAAAGCTACTGAGGGAGGGGGGGGGGGAGGGGGGATGTGGGGCCGAGTGGGGGTGGAGGAACGAACGCCTCAATTTGGCACCGCCTCCGCGGACTACTGGTCCCAACACGATGTACAACAGTAAGACGAAAGGACCAGCAGCCCGCAGAAGCGGCGCCTAATTGAGGCGTTCGTACCTCTACCCCCGAGTGGTGGGGGGGGGGGGGGGAGGTAGTTCGGTCTCTTCCGAAGCGATCTCTTGTTTTTGGAATGATGGTAATGATGGTTCGACTTCAAATTGGACGACAGCTCTTTCAAGGCTAGGTACAGCGCTTCATTTCATATGATCATGTGTGTCATTGCACACACAGTCCACTTTGGCGTCCTCATCCTGGATTTGCAATCGCAAAAACGCAAGAGACTTACCGATTGTTATCGATTACATCAAATTGAGGTGACTAGTACTAAAAAGGAAAGAAAATGCTAAGAACACCTTGGAAACACTTACCTGAAGGCTTGTTTCTCCCACGAACCCAGGATGGGGAGGCCAAAGGTGAACTGTGTGTGCAATGACACACATGATCATATGAAATAAAGCGACTGTATTTGTACATAGATACGATTACTCACTGATTAGCCCAGACAATTCCCATATCACTTATGAGCGTTTATGAGAGAATTTCCACAAACGTATGATCTTGCTAACCCTAACCCGAGCCAAGACATGATGAACTCACCGAATTGATGAGCAAAGATAGGATTCGTAAAATTTTATCTTTGAGTTGAAAAAGCACTTGTTAGTGTATTTTCTGTTTGCAAATTACGGCGAATACTCATATGAGTTATGAAAAAGGTTATTGAATGCCTCAATGCTAGAGTCTTAACTTCGCCTTATTTGTCTTGCTCCACGGCAAATTCACACGCGCCAACGAGGTTGACTGTGTAGTTACACTAAAATGCTCCAAAACCAACTGCTCAGGCACTCGCAACGGCCGGTGACCGTCCGACTACCGGCCGGTGGGGGTGGTGTCAATTTCACTCAGCCGCGTAGTCTACGACCACCGGCCGGTATTCGGACGGCCGCCGGCCGGAAAGGTACGGCCGCCAGTCGGTGTATACTAAGGAACGGTAGAACTGTTTTACATGGTAGAATTGTCTTTTATTCACTGGCATACAGGAAAATACACTGCAAAGAACAAAAATCAAGGCCGCTGATGTAGCAGCTTCGGAGACCACGTCCGATTTTAAAGTCCGACAACACCGAGATACTATCGAGGGTTGTCTACAGTCTGCCCCAATCCTAACCAGGCCAAAATCGGCATGGCGGGAGTCCGCGCCGCAAGGGTTTCGCGCCACATCTGCGGCTAGCTGGTCTGCTCTCTCCTTGATCTCTTCACTCTCTGCGACAGCGCGCGTATGCAGCGCAATCCCCCATCGCTGCGAGAGCGCAAATTCGGCCGACGGTGCGGCCTAATCCCGATTGGGGCAGACTGTATAAGACAACATGTTGCCTTGTTCCTGCTTCGGAAATTGAAGAACATACAAGGCATTGAGGGTAGCCTAACCATGCGTCGTATCTCACGCAAGTATCCTTTACGCTAAGACACTGGGAGATAGAATTTTGGGACGGTCGCCGGCCTGCATGATCTTTTGGGACGGTCACCGGCCGGCATTTAGCTCCGCCCAGATTTATGGAACGGTCGCCAGCCGGAAGGCCGTCGTCGGACGGTCGCCGGCCGGTGCGAGTGTCTGAGTGAGCCTTCTAATGCTAGACCGTGAAGCAAAGAAGCAAATACTAGCAACTCAGTGCATTTATACAGAAGCAAATTAATATTTCATAAGCGGATGATGAGGCCAAAAGCAACCTCAAAACCTCAAATGAAGAAGTCATCACAACTGGAAAAGAAAATGATGACAAAGAGCGAATGATACGACGCCAAAAGCCTTCGTATAAATAGGACATCGTGTGAAATCAGGATTCTTCTAGACTCAGCTGATGATGACAATGACGTCATTGCACTTGGCAACTGTCCCATGTGCTCGCGCTCGCTGTTTAGCGACATTGAAAACGTGCGGCTTTTGCGTGAAGATGACTCATCATTTCATCGATCTTTTCGCAAATGCTTTGTTGTCACTTTGCTGCGATCGTCTCCATGTTGAGAGTTGCGATTCTTTTCCGTTGTGTGTCGTTGATAGTTTCTCATTAGGAGCGGTACATCAGAGTTCAATTTTTTGCTGAGAAGACACTGTTCTTTGTTCAATAAACACGCTGGTTCCAAATGGGTTGAGTCATGTCGCTGGTTGTTTTTTCATTTCGGAAGAAAGACCAGTAATTACGTGTTCAGATCGGTAGTCATGACTAAGCCTTTTTATTAAAGTAAAATAGGTGTACTAGAAAATTGGAAAACGCCTCTACTAGATAGAGACGGTTATCTAACTTTGGTTTGAACTTCTCTTGAAATTGAATGGAGTACTACAACGCGTTGTAGCAGGGATGACTACGATATATTCACAAATGGTCCTCTCAGTCGACCGCAGTATTGTAAAATGGCTCAACTCAAGCGTCCCCGATTTTCGGCCTCTGGAATGGGATCTCTCGAAGTGTACACAGTTCATAGTCAATGAAAGTGCCAATTGTGAATTGGTGGCAAAAAAGATGGACAGCTCTTAGACTTTCGAGCAGTTGATTGCACTCCTATCACCATAGGGAACTCAATGACTTCTATAGCTATCGGTCCTCACTTTGCCTTGTTTGCACACAACCCAAACTCTGCAAGTCATAGGTTGAGCCGTCGAGTGACGTGATCACATTTTACATGAGTTAAATGAGGGTTATGACATCATGAATGTCTCTTTTGATGAAAGGCGGGGCAGCGCGAGCGGGATCTTCGTCGTTTTTTTCGATAGAAATTTGATTCGTGAGATTTCTAATTGCTCAAGATCGTTTATTGTCCCGGGTATCTTGAAAAAAATTGTTATATTGAAACAAAGGTTGCCTGCGCAGGTGGGAAAAATCTATAAACCTTTACATACTTCTTGGGACTATTGGAAGAACGTAAGATCGTTATGTGTTTGGACCTAAAATCAGATGAGTTTTTTTTTCTCACTTTGACAACTTGCTTATCAAGAGTCTCGGAAAAATCATCATATTTTGAGAAAAACTGTTGTGAGTCATTCTTCTATGAACAGTCTTTTTGTCCCTGATGTCTGAAAATTGAGGCTCATTGTCGACCATTTGGATGCGATTCGCAGTGGCACGTTTGCCATATGTGCTCACATATACACCCTGTTATGCAGCTGTGCAAACCTATTGATATATGCGGAATTTGTGGAATTTTTTCTTATTCTAGAGATAACCTCGTGACCAACTGTGAAAATGTACATAACACAGTTCTAGAATAGAACATATCTTCATTCAGCAGTAACACCAGATTCTTTCTTTCGTTGGTTTACCGCATGTTAGAATATCGCAACAGCACAACTTAGGGATGCATGTAGAAATTATGAAAAAGATCGTGTCATGTATGAAAAATTTGAAAATTTGTGAAGCACTTATGACGTTTACTTTGGAGCGCTTAGTTAAACTAGTACGGAAAGGAAGAGGAGGAAGAGAGAGAGGGGGGGGGGGGGGATTTAACTAGCCCAAACTTCATTTTTGCAGCTACATCTTTGTTTCTAATTACATTCCTCAAACGGGTGTTTTACGAACAAAGTTGCAGCCAGTCACTTTCACGACGAAAAATGGGAAGTATCTGTTCTAATGAGAGATGGACGTTGGGATGACGTACAAAAGATTTTGTTCTCACATCAATAATTTTTTTTCGTAGGTTCAGATAGCTAAGAGTTCTTTGTAAAACTAAGGCAGCTTTGCGCGGATATACGGTTTTGCAGATATTATCTGCTACTACTGATAGACCCTCTGTGTTATGTCTCCAGTTCTATCTATTTTGACTGTGCGCAAGCTTACTTATCAAGACCAGAACTAAACTCAGTTCCTCACTTTCGTGAAATCTGCCCATTCGCTTTCTGCTGATTCAAAGAAGTCATTGAAAATCATAGAGGACTTTAGTGTTCTATCTCGCTAATTTTATTCTAGTTCAAATGAGTGACTTTGGAAAGCACTAATCTTACAGACAGTTATCCAATCGCATTTGGATCTGCTAGACAATTTGATGCTAATCTTTTTTTTTCATTTTGCAAAAGTGAGGAAAAGACCACGAATGATTGAAGAGCTGAACACGTGCACATTCTGATGTTCAGAAGTTTTTAATCTATGCAGCGCTTGCAGCTGCGAAACCAGTGCTGGAGTTTTTCTTCCTTTTTTATCTATCATACACCCTTTGTCCATGAATCACGTCAAATCGCCTCCAATTTCCTATTTGATATCACTAGGGCACCTGGGGTTAATATCGTAACGCCTGAATGCATACTTTGCAACCTTTGTGGGCTAATTGTCACTGCAAGGGCGTGAGATACGGAGGTCTGATGCCGCACATTTCGAATACGCGCCTTTATGGTCCCGCGACGAATGCAATGTTGACCGCGTATCGATCGCCGCCCGCGTCTGCGAGCAGTTTTAGGCCGTTGACGGCGGTTTTCTCCTCGCTCTTGCTCCTCTTTGGTGTTGTCTCTCATTGTTGATGGTGGTTCGTCCTCATTATTAGTAGATCCTTTATGCTTTTCCACTCGCTTCGGGTTGGACTTGCTCGTCTTGCACTCGCCGAATCAACACTCTCGACCGCATCACGTCGAATTTTGTGTACAACCTCAGCTCGAGCTCCGACTGACGACAGCAAGCAGCAGCAGCAGTTCGATCGTTACACACGGCAATCCGACGGTCCACTTACTGATCAGAAGAGAGCATTTCAACAACACAACATTAAGAAAATGAGAGATACACAATAGTGAGTGATTTTTGGTATTTTCCAGTGGCGATGAGTCATCGTCACTTCTTTTTTTCTCCAGGGTAAGATGGTTATTGTACAAATCAGAGTAGGCAGTTGTCAGGAAATTTGACAGGCATCTTTATGAAAGATTGCCTGTTAAGCGTCTTTTGACATATTCTTCGTCTTACGCATAATACTAGCAAGGTAGGGGAAAGAATTCCACCATTTTCGGCCTGCTTCTCGGACCACTGGTTCTTTCGCGATGCGTTGAATGTTGTTTGAGGACCCGTAGTTAGCGGAAGCGGGCCAAATGGCAGAATCTTCCCACTTGGGGGCGCCATAGGGATTTCATCCTGGTGCTTCAAAACACAAGCTATAAAAGCTAAAAATGAGAACTGAAATACTAGATCTCTTCCACCTAATTAGTGTTTTTCAGTGGTGACAGATACGGAGGAGGAGGTGGAGGCCGTGGAGGTTATGGTGGCGGCGGACGTGGAGGAAGCGGAAGTCGTGGCGGAAGCAGTGGACGAGGCGGTGGGTATGAAAGTCGTGGAGGCTACGACAGTCGTGGCGGCGGTTACGATAGCCGTGGTGGTTACGACCGTGGCGGTTACGAAAGCCGAGGCGGTCAGTATCAGTGTCAATTTTTTACGCTACTATAGTGGGTAGAAGCGTGATAAATAGATGTAGATGCTAGCTTCGTGTGTGTAGTAATAGCCAGTTTTTGATTCTTAAGGTCTATTAATGAGGATTTTAGGTGGCGGTGGCTACGGCGGTGGAGGTTATGGTGGCGGAGGCAGTCGCGGCTTCGGTGGCGGCGGCGGAGGTAGAGGAGGTGGTGGCGGAGGTGGCGCCAGTAATCCCGGTGGCCGTCTTCGCGACATCGACTGGAGCAAAGAGAACCTCAAGCCGATCCAGAAAAATTTCTATCATGAGAATGCCGCCGTTGCTCGCAGGGACCAGTATATAATCGACCAGTGGATCTCAGAAAATCAAGTCACTTTGGACGGTCGCGGCATACCACGCCCGATCTTCGAATTCAGTGAATCATCTCTACCCAATGAGCTTACTGATTTACTCTATGCAAAGTTCCAAAAGCCCACTGTGATTCAATCGATATCGTGGCCGATCGCAATGAGTGGTCGTGACATCGTTTCGATCGCTAAAACCGGTTCCGGGAAAACGTTGGCGGTGAGTATTCGGGCAGTGCCCTTGCACTTCTCTTTTGCCTATCTTTGATGAAAAGCCATGACTTTAGTTCATGCTGCCCGGTATTGTTCACACCACAAAACAACCGCCCAGAGGCCGCAATGAGGGTCCATCAGTACTCGTTTTGCTACCTACTAGAGAGTTGGCTCAGCAAGTGCAGGAGGTATTGTTTTGAGAATTTTATTTCACAATAAATGGTATTCCATATGTGGATTTAGGTGTCTGTTGACTTTTGCAATCATCTTGGTTTGAAAATGACTTGTTTGTTCGGTGGAGCATCGAAAGGGCCACAAGCTCGTGACCTAGAACGAGGTGTTGACATCGTAGTCGCGACACCAGGTCGTCTTTTGGACTTCCTCGACAATGGTACTACCAATATGAAACGGTATGTCATCGATTGGTTGCAATATTAACAATATTCAGAGTACCTTGTATCTTTCTAGGTGTTCTTACTTGGTGCTTGATGAAGCTGATAGAATGCTCGATATGGGTTTCGAGCCACAGATTCGCAAAATTATAGGACAAATTAGAGTTAGTTTCAAATGTTTTTTACTAAGCAACTTTATAGGTATCTTTATGATATACTAGCTGGCTTACCCGGCTCCGCCGTATCCGGACCAAACTTGGCACACATACACTTCGGGCCCCGGCGGGTGTCACAGTCCACTTTTCGTTATCGATCGATGTCGATTTTACCGATTTTTATCGATTTTTTTGCAGAGTTCACCTACAGGGCTAGGAGTTGGCACAGGGGGGGGGGGGAAGTGAGCATGGGGATTCCGAATACAATATTAGTTTTCAAGATCGTCCATTACTTTTATCGATGATTTTTTGAAAATTTGAGCTAGGGGGCTGGAATTTGGCACAGGGGTGTAATCGAGCATGTTGATTATCCCTTTGGGGATGATCAGCATGCTCGATTACCCCCCTGTGCCAACTCCCAGCCTCCTAGCTCAAACTTTGCAAAAAATCGATAAAATCGATAAAAGTAATCGATAATCCTGAAAACCAATATTGTATTCGGAATCCCCATGCTCGATTACCCCCCTGTGCGAACTCCCAGCCCCGTAGCTCAAACTTTGCAAAAAAATCGATAAAATCGATAAAAGTAATCGATAATCCTGAAAACCAATATTGTATTCGGAATCCCCATGCTCGATTACCCCCCTGTGCGAACTCCCAGCCCCGTAGCTCAAACTTTGCAAAAAAATCGATAAAATCGATAAAAGTAATCGATAATCCTGAAAACCAATATTGTATTCAAAATCCCCATGCTCGATTACCCCCCTGTGCCAACTCCCAGCCCCGTAGGTGAACTCAGCAAAAAAATCGATAAAAATCGATAAAATCGATATCGATCGATGACGAAAAGTAGCCTATGACACCCGCCGGGGCCCGTAGCGTATGTGTGCCAAGTTTGGTCCGGATCGGTTCAGAAATGGAATTTTCTATTCGGAACATACGTACACACATACAGACAGACATACAGACAGACAGACAGACAGACAGACAAACAGACATTCAGCTTTATATATAAGAAGATTATCTTTGCAGCCTGATCGTCAGACTCTTATGTTCTCCGCTACTTGGCCGAAAGAAGTGCGCAATCTTGCATCAGATTTCCAACATGATGCCGCTTTCCTAAATGTTGGCTCAATGGAGCTCGCTGCAAACCATAATATTACTCAGTATGTCGATGTTATTGAAGAACATGCCAAGCAACCACGCTTGATGCAACTCTTGAATGATATTATGAATCAGGTATGTTATTCTCGGTACTGTTTGTACATCTGTGAAATCTATTGTTTCAGCCCGAATGTAAAACCATTATCTTTGTGGAAACAAAACGTAAAGCAGATGATTTGACCAGATGGATGCGACGCGATGGTTGGCCAACGCTATGTATCCATGGTGATAAGAATCAGGGAGAACGTGATTGGGTGTTGAGTGGTGAGTTGTTATCGAAATAAGATCTTTGATGTGAAGTTGCGAGTTTGAGTCATTGGCTGTGACCATTACTGACATGGCGTTTGGGAATAGGAAAAGAGTGGTTTTGGAGATAAATTTCATGTGGAATTTTTTGCAGTTTAGAATTGATCTTTTTCAGAATTCAAAGCTGGCAAGACTCCGATCATGCTAGCCACAGATGTTGCAGCACGTGGATTAGGTAAGTTGCTTCCTCTAATCATAAGCGGACATCATATTTTTCTGATCACATTATCAAAAAATTAAAATTTACAACCTAGTTGCCATGATGAGCCTTCAATGAAATTTTTTGAAGAGTTGTGCACATGATTTGGATGTTGGTGAGGTGTGCGCGCAGCGGTCTATGGAGCTGAACTACATAAATGCGTCTCTCGACGATATCATGTGGGCTTTGATTGGTCGTCGCACACAAAGCAAACACTGATGTGATGAGCGGCATTTTGGCGCCGGTGTCAACAGCGCCTTTCCAACTCTAGAGAAGCCATCGTTCTTATCCTATGTACACCATATGCGGATAGACGGTGGTGCTGTCGCACTTTGCACGAAACTATATCTGACACCGGCAACTAAAGCAGAGAAAGAGCTCTAAGCCGTGTGCGCGTGCACATTGCGGTGTGGAGGAGGGGTCGTCGTGTGTGAGTATCGCGTCGTGTTTCATCTATTTGGAGCACGCAACCGCTCTCGAGTCGGAGCCAAATCGCCCAAGACTACATTGAATGATGATGTGTTTTGGTATGAGGGCGTAGTGCTCCGGAGTTGAGTGGGATCTCGCCGCGGCCGTCTGTCCACCGCCCGCCTCGCCCAGCATTCGGACACGCAGGTGTGTGGACGAGTTCTTCGTTGGTTTTGGCTTTTTAGACTAGTCAGATTTATATATGTAGATGATGGTTAGATCTATGTATAGGGGCACGATTTTGAAGAATAAGTTGACGTTGTCAGGGATATGCATTCTTTATGAAGGAAAATGATGAAAAATTATCAAAATTGATTGTAACACAGTTTATTGTGCGCTTAGTTCAATAACTTTTGCAGCAAGGTAGAGTAGTCGGCAGAGTGTCCTTGCGGTGCCGAGATTTTGCTGTAGAGTTTGCGCGTGAAGAATTAGCTAGACCTGAACGCAAGCGCTTGCATAATGCTGGTATATGAGGCGTAGCTATCTATTCACATGCAGACTTTACCGCAAACTCTCGGCACTGTGTATACCGACAAATCTATTCGACTGTACTTAGGGGTTGAAGTTCGCTCTATATCAGACGTATTGTTCTTATACATTGCAATATGACACATCCCTGACAACAGTCAACGAGCATCGCTTCCGTCCGATCTGCCTCGAGTCAGTTTCAGACGGAGCTGCATGGTCTTTGAGTGTGCAGGGGTGAACGCGATAGTCGAGGACCTGTCGTCTTCGTGGCACATGATGCGGATGCAGGGTGACAGGTGTCCACTGTCGCGTTCTGCTCGCCAGTGGGCCATCGCCTGCGTTTGTGACTGGCATGGGTCTTTTCACTTAGTGCTCGTCTCTATGTTTCGTTGAGGTGGCTTTTGAAATCGTTTTTGCGATTTCGGACAATGATAAGTAAGTACAAAAATGGCAATCGGAGGAGGCAATGACTTTTCGCGGTATTTACCTATCCTCAGTTTGGCTGAAGCACATGAGTAGAGGTACGAATACCTCAATTAGGCGCCCTTTACAAACCACTTGTCTTCCGCGTATGCTGATGCATGCGAGTTAGGATCAGCAGTCCGTGGAGGCGGTGTTAAATGGAGGTATTCGATCCTCTGTACAAGTGCAGCTAACATCTTGAGTATTGGGTATACCGCCAAAGGTCGGTTGTTCGAGCAGCCGTAGACAACAACCGGCCTATCAAATGTGGGTAAAATTATCAAAGTGCTTATATAATGTAAAGAATGGCAGCTACAAATACCAGCGGAGTTATGTACGACGAAAGTTTGAACAGGGCAGCCGGTTTGTTGTGTACGGCTGCTGTTGTTCTTGAAACTCGTGTCATCTGGTCCTTTGTTAGCATTCGCTTGATTTAGCATAGTAGCAGTAGTGTGCAAATATTAGTTTATGTATGACTTTCAGATGTCGATGACATTAAGTATGTTATTAACTATGACTACCCTAATAATTCGGAAGATTACGTCCATCGTATTGGACGAACAGGTCGTCGTGAGAAAAAGGTAGGAACAAGCACTAGTTGTAGCAATTTAGAAGTGAACCTAATGTTCTTGTCTACAGGGAACCGCCTACACCTTCTTCACCCCTCAAAATGCCCCTAAAGCCCGAGACTTGATAAAAGTGTTAGATGAAGCCGGACAAGTAGTCCCTCAAGCCCTCCGAGACCTACAAGCCAGAGCTGGAAGTGGAGGAAACAGTCGAGGTCGATGGGGTGGTAGTGGAGGTGGAATGAAGCGTGGATATAATGGAGGAGGAGATGACTACGCCGCCAAGAAAGCCCGGTAAGTTTCCACATTCTCTCAACCAAAGTTCTCTCATTCTTCTCAGTCATTTTTAGATATGATGGTGGCGGTTATGGCGGTGGCGGCGGCGGTGGACGATGGTAAATATGAATGAAACAAAGAAATCTGTTCTATATAGCTTATTGTGTGTGAAACTATGATCTTCATTATGTATCCAATACATTAATAATAAACGTGTTACTTGTTAGTGAATAAAACTAATAAGTTGATTGTTTTCTTATGTGATTGATTTGTGACTGATAGTCGATTTTAACCTGAAAATAAAAATATTTGGAAAGTTGTTACGTGGACATTACTTTTTGATGGCAATTTGGTCGAGTAGAAAAAGTTTGGAGATGGTTGCAGGATAGGGTCCGGTACTAGTTTGATTGTTGATTTAAAACGAAGTACCATTTGACTTGTGAAGTTTTACGAAGTTTTTTTTTCCATGAATTAACTTTCATTTCCATATCTTTCGCACCATTACTGTATTTCGTCATGATAGCATGCTTTCGCCTATCATCGCATACGTAAAGTAAGCATATTGAAAGAGCCCTAAAAGCATAGAAGCATCATTTTCGTAATAAGAATGTTAAACAATCTCTGTGGTCGAGTTTCAGCGAATTCTGAGTTTTCAAATATTGGGCCACACAAGTGAGGTGATCGTTTTCGTACACGTTGACTTTATTTCAAAGGTGTGTTAACTACTTCTTTTTGCACTTAATACAAAAAAAAAAAACTAGTACTTCTTTGCCCACATTAGGAGTCCCACTCTAAGTAAACTACGGAATCGAGAGCAAGGCAAAATCTCGATTGTCCCATTCTTCGCTCCCAATATCTCACAAAAGAGGTCCGATCAGTCGAAGCCTTTCCAAGCAAGTCATATACCACTTTGAAGAGCATCAAACGCTGATTCCGAATGTGTCATTACCTGCTAACGAGGGAATGGTCACAAATTGAAGTGGCCAGTTCAAGCAAGCTGCATATGCATACCACCAGATGCAGCATAATTGACGCTGCTCCAAATCTGTCTCCCCTATCTGCAGATCAGGCCACTGGTTATAACTTTGCTTACAGAGGCGCTCTGTAGAACAGATTTGAAATTAGCTTTCGAAGTGGCATCGAAAGGTATGCAGCTTGTTTGGATTGGTCACTTCGACTTCTGACCATTCCCTTGTAAGCCTGTCGTAGATTATCCAAATAATCTACAACCTTTAGCATTGTAGATCTACCGTGTATGTTATATTTAGCATATCTGTTAGCTTGTCGTTGACAAACCTTATTGTTCACTGACCACTTAAGCCGCCAGGTCACCCCTCCGCTGTGCTTGATAGTCTACTTGCGGCGGCTACTTTCATGTAGGCAATCCTTCATGCTGTATGATACTATTGTTTACCAGAAGTGAGCATTCAGGTTATCCACGCCCAAAATAGTGGCATAAAAGGGCCTGAATACTCAGTTCTGGTGTGGGTTCGATTATTACCACTATCGTCAGCGGCTGTTCCGCATATTCACTGTTGATAGTCAGCGGCTGCTCCGCTACTATCGAATAAACAGTTATACAACGTAGTGGTACCAGCTTGGTGTATACCAGATTGGTGCATTCGGCCTACGGTTCACTTTCTGGCGTTTGCTACCCAGAAAGCTGATAAAGTCCCGCGTGGCAGACACTCCACTAATTAATTGAACCCTTCTGAGCTCTCTCTTCGTGAGACGACCAGAAGGTAGTAAAAGCGTTAGTTGGCAGGCTTCTTCACTGATTAATTGAACCCTTCTGAGCTCTCTCTTCGTGAGACGACCAGAAGGTAGTAAAAGCGTCAACCGAAGAAATTTCACTGGTCAATTGAACCCTTTTGAGCTCTCTCTTCGTGAGACGACCAGAAGGTGGTAAAAGCCCCAGCTGAATACTTCTCCACTAATTGATTGAACCCTTCTGAGCTCTCTCTTCGTGAGACGACCAGAAGGTAGTAAAAGCGTTAGTTGGCAGAAAATCACTGATTAATTGAACCCTTCTAAGCTCTCTCTTTGTGAGACGACCAGAAGGTAGTAAAAGCGTCAGCTGAGGAAACCACTGGTTAATTGAACCTTTCTGAGCTCTCTTTTCGTAAGACGACCAGAAAGTAGTAAAAGCTCCAGCTGAAGACCTTACCACTGAAATTGAACTCTTCTGTGATCTCTTCTAGTAAGACGACCAGAAGTTAGTAAAAAAAAAAACAGTTGGTACATCTTTAATAGTTCACTCGAAAGCTATTAAACTACAAGGTCTCCTCAAACTCGACTGGGCAGGATCCAAACCTAACCAGTCAGCACAGCATTCAAGCCCATCGGCACGCTTGCTAATCAACTAGAAATAAGCTAAGCGCTCCATTGCTAAGCTCACTAGCGACTATTTTCTTGCACCAAGCAAGAAAACATACCAAAGAGGTTCAGGCCCAGCCAACCTCCACAGTTCTCGACAGCTGCGAGTACTAAGTACCCAGCCAGAACTCTTCTACCAACAAACACCTGCAGTGCCAAAGCACGCAGCCAACGAGAGCCTCAAGCGATAGAAGTCAATGCGCACCAGACAAACAATGACTGAACTCGCAGGATTCAAAACACGCATCTCAGTGGCTTGCTCTTCAGTTAGCAGCCTCCAGGATAAAATCAGGGAGATAGATCAAGCCTTCAACTTCCCAACAACGGCATCGGAATGCAATGCCTTCGTCATGGATAAAATGGCAGAAATTGAAGAAGCAGAAATCTCTCTAAAAGGCTTCTCGGAATACCTGGAAGCACAAATCCAAAACGCTATGAACTTTCTCGGACTAAGGAAGGACCAATCAGAAAGAGAAAGGCTTATGACCGATCTTGATGCATTTCTTTCTACTGAGGCAAATAGAGTACAGATGGAAGCTATCAACTGGTTAAATAAGTTGAAATACCGGACGAGAGAACTGGAAAAACAGTCAAGCCTAATTCACGCATTAGCATCGTCCTCGACGCGAACATCAGAGCACGACACCGACACAAATAGTTGTCTATCAACAAGACAACACGCTGAGAACAAAGTCCGATTACCAGTGCTCGAAGTTCCAACGTTTAATGGAAACTACAAAGACTATCCAACGTTTTGGACGATTTTCGACTCGCTTATCCATAGCAACTCACAGCTTACCGACACTGATAAGTTCCTATTTTTGAGGCAAGCACTAAAAGGATCTGCTGCTTCTATGCTTGGCAATATTCCTGTGATAGGGAAAAATTACGACAAAGCTGTAAAACTCCTCGACAAGAGATACAACAAGTCCGGATGCATAGCTGATCTTCTCATCACAGAGCTCGAAAAACTTCCGCGAGCAAAGGAAGACGCAAATAGCTGCCGAAAAATGTTAACCGATGTGACTGAGAAGCTCACTCACATTGAGTGTGCGGGAGTCACCTTGGACAACGGGCGAATGTGGAGACGATTGATACTCTCGAAATTCCCAACATCACTGAGCGAAAAGGTGTTCAGCAAAGAGCAAAACGAAGACAAACCGTTTTCTACCGAGGAGATACTAGAGATCCTGGAAAGTGCGGTAGCTCTCAAGGAAACAATCGCCCTTTCAATGGACACATTCCAAGCATTCGAGGACTGCAAAATTATGGCACGCTCTGATTCCGATCAAGAAGTTGATGAAAGGCTGAACTATGAAGAAGACTCAATCGCATATAATTCGAACTACGGTCAAGGAAATAGATCTTCGAGAGATTCGAGTGCTCAATGCATCTGCGGAAGTTACCAACATGATGCGACGAGATGCACAACATTCCAAACAGCAGCAGAGCGACGTGATGAAGCCAGGAAACAAAGGCTGTGCTTCAGATGTCTTCAAACCGATCACAGGATTAGTGATTGCACAAGCTCACAGTTCTGCTACAAGTGCCACGAAAACCACCACACTGCCGTATGCATGGGTAGCTATTCAGCATCTAGAGGCACCCCAACCAGGCGATCGCAGCAACGATCTGCTCGCGATCAAGAATTCCCGAGAAACCCTGAATTTGCGCAAAACTCTGAAATTCTCCACAACAAGAGCACGAAGCGAGAAAGAGGAATGCAGCACGTACTGATGACGGCGACTGCACTCGCATACGACTACACATCGACCAGCTATAAGCCCGTGACTGTTTTCTTTGATGGAGGTGCGCAAAAGAGCTTCATCAATAGAAAGAAGACCCAAGCTCTTGGCTTACCAGTGCTGCAAAACACCACTTTCAAGATTGGCGGTTTCGGAGGATCTACCGCACATTTCACATCCAGTGAAGTCCCGCTTACACTGAGAACAACGTCTGCTGGAGTCGCCATCAAAGCCGTGAAGATACACACAAAGTCAACACTCACTTCCGCGATGAGCACAGCTTGGCTAAGCGCAAAAGATAGAAGGTTGATTCGAAAAAGAAAGATTCGAGTAGCACAACCGGATCTGAAGACGCGAAGGTTCACACCGGACATTCTCATTGGTCAAGATCTGATCGATCAATTCATCTTGAGGGATCGACCATGTACAATTCTTCCGTCGGGACTTATTCTCACCCCTACTGTTTTCGGTCATGCTATCTCCGGAAGCAGTCCGATATATGGAATCAAGATGGAGGAGCATTCGCAGAACACCGCAATCACCATGGTCTCCTACAATCACCCAGTGAGTAAAGGAAACTCAATGAAGCAGAAGCCAGTTAGAAGCGTCGAACAAGCTGAGCGCAAAACTTTCAAACGCCGAGCAAAGAAGCTCAGTCGTCCGTATCCGATGAATATGTTCGCACAACCTGAGAAGTCATCTACGAAACACGAAAGCTGCCAACGTAAGAGCGCATCTCGTGGACAACAATTCGATCGCAAACGCCGAAAACCAAGGGCTCAAGGACAATTTGTGAAGATGATTACTGATGCTCAACCGAGATGTCTCGCTTCAGCGTCGCGCCTGGCCCCGAAGGCCGACCACGACATGATGGCCGACCACCTTACGAATCCCAGACGAAGACAACGAACCCGTTACAGAAATCATGTGATATACGTGACTTAGCTAATGTTGTGATGAACTTTTGTAACCTACGTGTAACTTTTGTGATTTATATTTTCTTGCTTACGCGCCTTCCGTCGCGCGCCCCACTGTCGTAGATTATCCAAATAATCTACAACCTTTAGCATTGTAGATCTACCGTGTATGTTATATTTAGCATATCTGTTAGCTTGTCGTTGACAAACCTTATTGTTCACTGACCACTTAAGCCGCCAGGTCACCCCTCCGCTGTGCTTGATAGTCTACTTG